TGAGTAAGACGAGTGTGGCCAATGCGAAGGCGGGAGAGAGTGGTCTCCCAACCTCGGCACTGATGACAAGAAGACGGCCAGTAACCTATGCTGGGTTTTTAATAGAATGAAGTTTGTTACCGAGCAGAGTTGACCAACGTTGTTGCCAACGGGTGCGAAGGTGGGAAAGCTATTGCAGAAAAATAGTCCAGAAAGGAACACCTCTATGGGAAAATTGGTAGGTCATGTACTGCTGCCCGCGCAGCAGTGTCTGCCTGTTCATTGCCCTGTACGTCGACATGACCAGGGACCCAACAAAAAACAATATCTTTATGTTTGGTAGAGATACGGCGTAGCCAAAGTTGGATACGGAGAACTAGGGGATGAGATGTATCAAATTTTCGTATAGCCTGTAGAGCACTAAGGGAGTCTGAGACTACTACAAATGATGACACAGGCATAGATGCGATACGAATAAGTGCTACAAGAATGGCATACAATTCAGCAGGAAAAATGCTAGCCGAAGATAGTAAATGCCCTCGCACGACACTACTTACTCAAGACTGCGGGACTGACCACCTGGAAGCTACTTACTCAAGACTGAGGGACTGACCACCTGGAAGCTACTTACTCAAGACTGCGGGACTGACCACCTGGAAGCTATTTACTCAAGACTGCGGGACTGACCACCTGGAAGCTACTTACTCAAGACTGCGGGACTGACCACCTGGAAGCTACTTACTCAAGACTGAGGAACTGACCACTGGAAAGCTATTACTCAAGACTGAGGGACTGACACCTGGAAGCTACTTACTCAAGACTGCGGGGACTTGACCACTGGAAGCTACTTACTCAAGATGAGGGACTGACCACCTGGAAGCTACTTACTCAAGACTGAGGAACTGACCACCTGGAAGCTACTTACTCAAGACTGAGGAACTGACCACCTGGAAGCTACTTACTCAAGACTGCGGGACTGACCACCTGGAAGCTACTTACTTAAGACTGCGGAACTGACCACATGGAAGCTACTTACTCAAGACTGAGGAACTGACCACCTGGAAGCTACTTACTCAAGACTGAGAATGACCACCTGGAAGCTACTTACTCAAGACTGAGGAACTGACCACCTGGAAGCTACTTACTCAAGACTAAGGGACTGACCACCTGGAAGCTACTTACTCAAGACTGAGGAACTGACCACCTGGAAGCTACTTACTCAAGACTGAGGAACTGACCACCTGGAAGCTACTTATTCAAGACTGAGGAACTGACCACCTGGAAGCTACTTACTCAAGACTGAGGGACTGACCACCTGGAAGCTACTTATTCAAGACTGAGGAACTGACCACCTGGAAGCTACTTACTCAAGACTGAGGGACTGACCACCTGGAAGCTACTTATTCAAGACTGAGGAACTGACCCCTGGAAGCTACTTACTCAAGACTGAGGGACTGACCACCGGAAGCTACTTATTCAAGACTGAGGAACTGACCACCGGAAGCTACTTATTCAAGACTGAGGAACTGACCACCTGGAAGCTACTTATTCAAGACTGAGGAACTGACCACCTGGAAGCTACTTACTCAAGACTGAGGGACTGACCACCTGGAAGCTACTTACTCAAGACTGAGGGACTGACCACCTGGAAGCTACTTACTCAAGACTGCGGGACTGACCACCTGGAAGCTACTTACTCAAGACTGAGGGACTGACCACCTGGAAGCTACTTACTCAAGACTGCGGGACTGACCACCTGGAAGCTACTTACTCAAGACTGAGGGACTGACCACCTGGAAGCTACTTACTCAAGACTGAGGGACTGACCACCTGGAAGCTACTTACTCAAGACTGAGGGACTGACCACCTGGAAGCTACTTACTCAAGACTGCGGGACTGACCACCTGGAAGCTACTTACTCAGACTGAGGACTGACCACCTGGAAGCTACTTATTCAAGACTGAGGAACTGACCACCTGGAAGCTACTTACTCAAGACTGAGGGACTGACCACCTGGAAGCTACTTATTCAAGACTGAGGAACTGACCACCTGGAAGCTACTTATTCAAGACTGAGGAACTGACCACCTGGAAGCTACTTATTCAAGACTGAGGAACTGACCACCTGGAAGCTACTTACTCAAGACTGAGGACTGACCACCTGGAAGCTACTTACTCAAGACTGAGGGACTGACCACCTGGAAGCTACTTACTCAAGACTGCGGGACTGACCACCTGGAAGCTACTTACTCAAGACTGAGGGACTGACCACTGGAAGCTACTTACTCAAGACTGCGGGACTGACCACCTGGAAGCTACTTACTCAAGACTGAGGGACTGGACCACCTGGAAGCTACTTACTCAAGACTGAGGGACTGACCACCTGGAAGCTACTTACTCAAGACTGAGGGACTGACCACCTGGAAGCTACTTACTCAAGACTGCGGGACTGACCACCTGGAAGCTACTTACTCAAGACTGAGGGACTGACCACCTGGAAGCTACTTACTCAAGACTGAGGGACTGACCACCTGGAAGCTACTTACTCAAGACTGCGGGACTGACCACCTGGAAGCCTACTTACTCAAGACTGAGGGACTGACCACCTGGAAGCTACTTACTCAAGACTGAGGGACTGACCACCTGGAAGCTACTTACTCAAGACTGCGGGACTGACCACCTGGAAGCTACTTACTCAAGACTGCGGGACTGACCACCTGGAAGCTACTTACTCAAGACTGAGGGACTGACCACCTGGAAGCTACTTACTCAAGACTGAGGGACTGACCACCTGAAGCTACTTACTCAAGACTGAGGGACTGACCACCTGGAAGCTACTTACTCAAGACGCGGGACTGACCACCTGGAAGCTACTTACTCAAGACTGAGGGACTGACCACCTGGAAGCTACTTACTCAAGACTGAGGACTGACCACCTGGAAGCTACTTACTCAAGACTGCGGGACTGACCACCTGAAGCTACTTACTCAAGACTGCGGGACTGACCACCTGAAGCTACTTACTCAAGACTGAGGGACTGACCACCTGGAAGCTACTTACTCAAGACTGAGGGACTGACCACCTGGAAGCTACTTACTCAAGACTGCGGACTGACCACCTGGAAGCTACTTACTCAAAGACTGCGGGACTGACCACCTGGAAGCTACTTACTCAAGACTGAGGGACTGACCACCTGGAAGCTACTTACTCAAGAACTGAGGGACTGACCACCTGGAAGCTACTTACTCAAGACTGCGGGACTGACCACCTGGAAGCTACTTACTCAAGACTGAGGGACTGACCACCTGGAAGCTACTTACTCAAGACTGCGGGACTGACCACCTGGAAGCTACTTACTCAAGACTGCGGACTGACCACCTGGAAGCTACTTACTCAAGACTGCGGGACTGACCACCTGGAAGCTACTTACTCAAGACTGCGGACTGACCACCTGGAAGCTACTTACTCAAGACTGCGGGACTGACCACCTGGAAGCTACTACTCAAGACTGCGGGACTGACCACCTGGAAGCTACTTACTCAAGACTGCGGGACTGACCACCTGGAAGCTACTTACTCAAGACTGAGGGACTGACCACCTGGAAGCTACTTACTCAAGACTGCGGGACTGACCACCTGGAAGCTACTTACTCAAGACTGAGGGACTGACCACCTGGAAGCTACTTACTCAAGACTGAGGAACTGACCACCTGGAAGCTACTTACTCAAGACTGAGGGACTGACCACCTGGAAGCTACTTACTCAAGACTGAGGGACTGACCACCTGGAAGCTACTTACTCAAGACTGCGGGACTGACCACCTAGAAGCTACTTACTCAAGACTGAGGGACTGGACCACCTGGAAGCTACTTACTCAAGACTGAGGGACTGACCCCTGGAAGCTACTTACTCAAGACTGAGGGACTGACCACCTGGAAGCTACTTACTCAAGACTGAGGGACTGACCACCTGGAAGCTACTTACTCAAGACTGCGGGACTGACCACCTGGAAGCTACTTACTCAAGACTGCGGGACTGACCACCTGGAAGCTACTTACTCAAGACTGCGGGACTGACCACCTGGAAGCTACTTACTCAAGACTGCGGGACTGACCACCTGGAAGCTACTTACTCAAGACTGAGGGACTGACCACCTGGAAGCTACTTACTCAAGACTGAGGGACTGACCACCTGGAAGCTACTTACTCAAGACTGAGGGACTGACCACCTGGAAGCTACTTACTCAGACTGAGGGACTGACCACCTGGAAGCTACTTACTCAAGACTGCGAGGACTGACCACCTGGAAGCTACTTACTCAAGACTGAGGAACTGACCACCTGGAAGCTACTTACTCAAGACTGAGGGACTGACCACCTGGAAGCTACTTACTCAAGACTGAGGGACTGACCACCTGGAAGCTACTTACTCAAGACTGAGGAACTGACCACCTGGAAGCTACTTACTCAAGACTGCGGGACTGACCACCTGGAAGCTACTTACTCAAGACTGAGGGACTGACCACTGGAAGCTACTTACTCAAGACTGAGGGACTGACCACCTGGAAGCTACTTACTCAAGACTGAGGGACTGACCACCTGGAAGCTACTTACTCAAGACTGCGGGACTGACCACCTGGAAGCTACTTACTCAAGACTGAGGGACTGACCACCTGGAAGCTACTTACTCAAGACTGAGGGACTGACCACCTGGAAGCTACTTACTCAAGACTGAGGGACTGACCACCTGGAAGCTACTTACTCAAGACGAGGGACTGACCACCTGGAAGCTACTTACTCAAGACTGCGGGACTGACCACCTGGAAGCTACTTACTCAAGACTGCGGGACTGACCACCTCGAAATATTTAGGATGATGTGTGCTGTGTAGGGACCGATTTCCCAGTTTTGTTGCAGAAATTGTGAGGATTTCAATGATTTTTATAGGTATTGTTCACTTGTTCAAAGCTGTTCATTTGTTCACAGCTGTTTACTAGTTATAGGTGTTCACTTGTTCCTCCCGCAGGTGTGAACAAGGACCTGGTGGACGACCTGAACAAAAATGTCACCAGTAAGACCGGTGGTAGTGGTGGTGGTAATAGTGGTGGTAGTGGTGGTGGTGGTGGTGACGGTGGTCACTCCCTCACCCAACTGGAGTCTCCCCCACCCACCACCCACTCCCTCACCCACGCCCACACCCATCACGCCCACCAGCAGTCAGGTGGGCAGCCCAGCCTGGCCAACCTTGATGCCCAACCATCCAACACTCACAGACCCTCTGATGTAAGTATATTCTCCTGGTGTCATCATACACCTCTGATATACTCCGGAAATACCTTTGATAAACCCCTGATGCCTCTTTGGTATACCCCATAACTCTCTGATATACCCCTGCTACATCTCTGGCATTCTCCTGATATACCCCTGCTACCTCTCTGACATAGTCCTGATATACCCCTGCTACCTCTCTGACATAGTCCTGATATACCCCTGCTACCTCTCTGACATAGTCCTGATATACCCCTGATACCTCTCTGACATACTCCTGATACACCCTTGATACCTCTCTGACATATCTATACACCCTTGAAAACCTCTCTGACATACCTCTCTGAATACTCCTGATACCCTCTGACTACTCCTGATCATACCCTGATACCTCTTTGATATACCCCTAAATATACGAGATAATAGACCCTGCAGCAGCCTCTGACCATACTAGGAAAATGTCCTTCTACATCCAAACCATGGGACCAACTCTGTACTCAATATTAACCCTGATAATCTCTTCGACATACTCCTGTTAACGCCATGTACAATGCTTTTAATCAACCATCTCACTAGGTAATGTATCTATACCATATTAGGCTAGCCTTTTACTTCAATAACACTACTAGGTAAAACTGTTCCAACTCATCCACTACGTAGGTAGACTGTCCAACTCATTCCACTACTAAGTAGACTTTTACACTCATCCACTACTGGGTTAGATTTGTTTCCACTCATCCACTACTAGGCAGACGGGTTCCACTCATCCACTACTAGGTAGATTGTTCCACTCATCCACTACTAGGTAGACTGTTCCACTCATCCACTACTAGGTAGACTGTTCCACTCATCCACTACTAGGTAGATTGCTCCACTCATCCACTACTAGGTAGACTGTTCCACTCATCCACTACTAGGTAGACTGTTCCACTCATCCACTACTAGGTAGACTGTTCCACTCATCCACTACTAGGTAATGTTCCACTCATCCACTACTAGGTAGATTGTCCACTCATCCACTACTAGGTAGACTGTTCCACTCATCCACTACTAGGTAGACTGTTCCACTCATCCACTACTAGATAGACTGTTCCACTCATCCACTACTAGGTAGACTGTTCCACTCATCCACTACTAGGCAGATTGTTCCACTCATCCACTACTAGGTAGACTGTTCCACTCATCCACTACTAGGTAGACTGTTCCACTCATCCACTACTAGGTAGATTGTTCCACTCATCCACTACTAGGTAGACTGTTCCACTCATCCACTACTAGGTAGATTGTTCCACTCATCCACTACTAGGTAGACTTCCACTCATCCACTACTAGGTAGATTGTTCCACTCATCCACTACTAGGTAGACTGTTCCACTCATCCACTACTAGGTAGATTGCTCCACTCACCTACTACTAGGTAGACTGTTCCACTCATCCACTACTAGGTAGACTATTCCACTCATCCACTACTAGGTAGATTGTTCCACTCATCCACTACTAGGTAGACTGTTCCACTCATCCACTACTAGGTAGATGTTTCCACTCACCACTACTAGGTAGACTGTTCCACTCATCCACTACTAGGTAGATTGTTCCACTCATCCACTACTAGGTAGACTGTTCCACTCATCCACTACTAGGTAGATGTTCCACTCATCCACTACTAGGTAGACTGTTCCACTCATCCACTACTAGGTAGATTGTTCCACTCATCCACTACTAGGTAGATTGTTCCACTCATCCACTACTAGGTAGACTGTTCCACTCATCCACTACTAGGTAGATTGTTCCACTCATCCACTACTAGGTAGATTGTTCCACTCATCCACTACTAGGTAGATTTGTTTCCACTCATCCACTACTAGGTAGATTGTTCCACTCATCCACTACTAGGTAGACTGTTCCACTCATCCACTACTAGGTAGATTGTTCCACTCATCCACTACTAGGTAGATTGTTCCACTCATCACTACTAGGTAGATTGTTCCACTCATCCACTACTAGGTAGATTGTTCCACTCATCCACTACTAGGTAGACTGTTCCACTCATCCACTACTAGGTAGATTGTTCCACTCATCCACTACTAGGTAGATTGTTCCACTCATCCACTACTAGGTAGATTGTTCCACTCATCCACTACTAGGTAGACTGTTCCACTCATCCACTACTAGGTAGACTTCCACTCATCCACTACTAGGTAGACTGTTCCACTCATCCACTACTAGGTAGATTGTTCCACTCATCCACTACTAGGTAGATTGTTCCACTCATCCACTACTAGGTAGATTGTTCCACTCATCCACAAACTAGGTAGACTTTCCACTCATCCACTACTAGGTAGATTGTTCCACTCATCCACTACTAGGTAGATTGTTCCACTCATCCACTACTAGGTAGACTGTTCCACTCATCCACTAGGTAGATTGTTCCACTCATCCACTACTAGGTAGATTGTTCCACTCATCCACTACTAGGTAGATCTGTTCCACTCATCCACTACTAGGTAGATTGTTCCACTCATCCACTACTAGGTAGATTGTTCCACTCATCCACTACTAGGTAGATTGTTCCACTCATCCACTACTAGGTAGATTGTTCCACTCATCCACTACTAGGTAGATTGCTCCACTCATCCACTACTAGGTAGATTGTTCCACTCATCCACTACTGGGTTAGATTGTTCCACTCATCCACTACTAGGTAGATTGTTCCACTCATCCACTACTAGTAGATTGTTCCACTCATCCACTACTAGGTAGATTGTTCCACTCATCCACTACTAGGTAGATTGTTCCACTCATCCACTACTAGGTAGATTGTTCCACTCATCCACTACTAGGTAGATTGTTCCACTCATCCACTACTAGGTAGATTGTTCCACTCATCCACTTAGGTAGATTTTTTCCACTCATCCACTACTAGGTAAAATTGTTCCACTCATCCACTACTAGGTAGACTGTTCCACTCATCCACTACTAGGTAGATTGTTCCACTCATCCACTACTAGGTAGATTGTTCCACTCATCCACTACTAGGTAAATTGTTCCACTCATCCACTACTAGGTAGATTGTTCCACTCATCCACTACTGGGTAGATGTTCCACTCATCCACTACTAGGTAGATTGTTCCACTCATCCACTACTAGGTAGATTGTTCCACTCATCCACTACTAGGTAGATTGTTCCACTCATCCACTACTAGGTAGACTGTTCCACTCATCCACTACTAGGTAGATTGTTCCACTCATCCACTACTAGTAAAATGTTCCACTCATCCACTACTAGTAAATTGTTCCACTCATCCACTACTAGGTAGATTGTTCCACTCATCCACTACTAGGTAGACTGTTCCACTCATCCACTAGGTAGATTGTTCCACTCATCCACTACTAGGTAGATTGTTCCACTCATCCACTACTAGGTAGACTGTTCCACTCATCCACTACTAGGTAAATTGTTCCACTCATCCACTACTAGGTAGATTGTTCCACTCATCCACTACTAGGTAGACTGTTCCACTCATCCACTAGGTAGATTGTTCCACTCATCCACTACTAGGTAGATTGTTCCACTCATCCACTACTAGGTAGACTGTTCCACTCATCCACTACTAGGTAGATTGTTCCACTCATCCACTACTAGGTAGATTGTTCCACTCATCCACTACTAGGTAGACTGTTCCACTCATCCACTACTAGGTAAATTGTTCCACTCATCCACTACTAGGTAGATTGTTCCACTCATCCACTACTAAGTAAGACTTGTTCCACTCATCCCACTAGGTAGATTGTTCCACTCATCCACTACTAGGTAGATTGTTCCACTCATCCACTACTAGGTAGATTGTTCCACTCATCCACTACTAGGTAGATTGTTCCACTCATCCACTACTAGGTAGATGTTCCACTCATCCACTACTAGGTAGATTGTTCCATTTCATCCACTACTAGGTAGATTGTTCCACTCATCCACTACTAGGTAGACTGTTCCACTCATCCACTACTAGGTAATTGTTCCACTCATCCACTACTAGGTAGATGTTTCCACTCATCCACTACTGGGTAGATTGTTCCACTCATCCACTACTAGGTAGATTGTTCCACTCATCCACTACTAGGTAGATTGTTCCACTCATCCACTACTAGGTAGACTGTTCCACTCATCCACTACTAGTAAATTGTTCCACTCATCCACTACTAGGTAGATTGTTCCACTCATCCACTACTAGGTAGACTGTTCCACTCATCCACTAGTAGATTGTTCCACTCATCCACTACTAGTAGATTGTTCCACTCATCCACTACTAGGTAGACTGTTCCACTCATCCACTACTAGGTAGATTGTTCCACTCATCCACTACTAGGTAGATTGTTCCACTCATCCACTACTAGGTAGACTGTTCCACTCATCCACTACTAGGTAAATTGTTTCCACTCATCCACTACTAGTAGATTGTTCCACTCATCCACTACTAGGTTTAGACTGTTCCACTCATCCACTAGGTAGATTGTTCCACTCATCCACTACTAGGTAGATTGTTCCACTCATCCACTACTAGGTAGACTGTTCCACTCATCCACTACTAGGTAGATTGTTCCACTCATCCACTACTAGGTAATTGTTCCACTCATCCACTACTAGGAAGACTGTTCCACTCATCCACTACTAGGTAAATTGTTCCACTCATCCACTACTAGGTAGATTGTTCCACTCATCCACTACTAGGTAGACTGTTCCACTCATCCACTAGGTAGATTGTTCCACTCATCCACTACTAGGTAGATTGTTCCACTCATCCACTACTAGGTAGACTGTTCCACTCATCCACTACTAGGTAGATTGTTCCACTCATCCACTACTAGGTAAAATTGTTCCACTCATCCACTACTAGGTAACATGTTCCACTCATCCACTAAGGTAGATTGTTCCACTCATCCACTACTAGGTAGATTGTTCCACTCATCCACTACTAGGTAGACTGTTCCACTCATCCACTACTAGGTAGATTGTTCCACTCATCCACTACTAGGTAGATTGTTCCACTCATCCACTACTACGTAGACTGTTCCACTCATCCACTACTAGGTAAATTGTTCCACTCATCCACTACTAGGTAGA